CAAAGGCCTCGCTTATCAAAATGTTTGAAGAAGTGAGCAAGATTATTTTACAAAGTTCAAAAGGATCTACTGACCTCCACATGCTGACAAAGAGAACATACTTAAGGTATCCATCCATATGCAAATAAACATGACCAACTGAATGTTTATCAAAGCCTGAGCCTTCCAATGAAGCTCCATTGGAAAAGTTCTTTGACAAGGTCATGTACTGATCTGGTTTGAAGAAAAGATAGAAACAATTCTGCAGTCCTTCAATCAATCACAATCCGCCTCAGCGCCCACAGACAAAAACAGACCAAATTTATGTAATAACACTCAAAATCAGAATGCATGAAATAGCACAGAGGCTCATGCAAATTCAGAGTTGTCAGAGATTGCTTTCTATTTGATAGGAAATTATTAAAACATGGCCACAGGGAGGTGTCTGCATAGCTGTAGCTGAGACATTTACAGCACAGATTCCTAACATTCTTTGTGCCAACTTGTACCTTCAAGAAATGGCTTAGACCAACACATGACTTCAAGACACTTCGATAAGCTGACATTTTCGGACAGGGCAGGCTAAAATCTGTGGAGCTTTGGGGCAGTACTGGAATGACTGGGCTATTCAGGCCGTAGATGCCACTGTTAAGACTTCCACCTTAATTGGCACAAGCACACAGCCACACCAGTGCTGAAAACTTCACAAAAGGCTTGCACTGGAAAAACTGGGTGAGGTCCAACAGGGACCCAGGGGTCAGGTGATTTTCATTGTAATTCTGGACTGACTGGGGAATGAACAGTTAGATAACAGGCTTTCTTAGCTTTTGCGCCAAATCAGGCCCAGACCACGATGAAACCACATCAATGGAAACCTTATCTGAACTACTTTGTGATGTCCCATTGGGTTTGTGCCAGTGACAGGTCAATAAATTGATGCAGCTATAAATTAACTGCTTAAACAAAAGTCCATACACTTAATTAAAAAAAAATAAGCACTGTGCACTCCAAATGATTATATAAGTGCATTTAGATTGATGCTCTGAAGTGCCTCGTATACTTGCTACAGGACACAATAGAGGTCTGGTGCAGGCAAGCCTAAATCATCATACAACTGCCTCAAACTGTGTCAAGTTGCAGAGTAACTTCATATAGACTCACTTATGTGGTTTCTGACATTAAATAACAATGTTATCTATAAAAATGAACAAACGTATGCTAAAACAATAGCAACAGCCATATAACATCCTGAATTTAGTTTAAACTTTTGTTCAAGCTCATTGGTGGGGTATAGGTTTCCATTACTTTTTAGCTACATTAGCCAAATAGCAAAATTCACACACTAACCACGTCTTGGCAACATTTCAGGCAAGGTGGAAAATGATTTTTTTTTTTTGCCAAACTATTCATAAAAATAAATCACTGATTAAAAAGCTGAAGTCTCTAAATTCCAACATAAAACAAAAACTGATTTGCAAATAAATAAATAAGTACTGATAAAGGCCAGATGTTCATGGTATAACAATGCCACTTATAAGAAGCTTCAGGCTATAACACTAACGTCCCAAAGTTTAGACCAGTGATGCACCTGGCTAGGCCACAGAAAGGTCATGACGTTGGAGGTGGCTAGCGTTGTAAAAGCACTGTGTCAGTATATAGGGGACATTGGGCTGGCTATTTATAAACGTGAAACCTTAAACTGGTGCTTCCTCCCCTGCAAGGACTCAACCCCAGAACCAGAAGCAAAGAGCAGGAAGCAGCAGGTTGACTTCCTCCGTCTTCTTCAGAGCAAAGCGCTGCCATCCTGTTTGGGCATCCGCTCCTCTTGAAGAGCACAGCTGGGGCTCAGGACTCAACACCAGCTGGACTGGGAGGAGGTGGGGGAGCAACTTTCTCAGCAACTGGTGCACAGTAAAACAGAGGGGGGCATGCACAGAGCAACTGACCTGTTGAATTAGGTACACATGCCTGGCTCTCGGCTTGCTTGCTCTACAAAATATAAACATGACACATCCAATTTAGTTGATCTGCTTGAAGAGATGAGGTATGGGGGCCTGGTACAACTTTTATGGATACTAAATACAAGCAAACTAGAGCTGAAGCCCTAAGTCCTCAGTTCTTGTCCTTGGAAGTGGTTATGAAGTGGACAGAAATGCGAAACCTCTGTACGTCAACATTTGGTTTCTGAAAAGAGTAGGCATAACTTCATGCACATATCATCCAAAAGCAAGTTTCAAAGCCCTGAATGCTTCAGAAGCCCCTTCAGAGCTGGTGTGACTGATGTGTTTGACATGTTCCAGTTACTGATCACATTACCTACTTTCAGTTGTAACAAAACCTCATATTTCTGAAAATAACCTAACTTTATAAGAGAATTAAAAACTTCTCATAACTTTAACGCATGTTAATGTAATAAGATTTTATTTTAAGCAATTCTAGATGATTTCTAATAGTCTAGGGGTGGGAAATATGAAGATATTTATCATTACCATGACATAATTTATCATTAATATATCATGAGATCACAACATGTGTTTTATTGCTTCATTCGTCATCAACTGTTGACGTAATGTAAAGGACAGCTAGTTTTGAAATGCTGTAAAGACATAATAGCAAAAAACATGAACTATGAGGTTTTAACAGCGATAATATACAGCTACAGGATGTAATCCTCAATGGCCTCCTCCAGTCTGAAATCCATCCTCTAGAACTGAGGGTGTGCTTTCAGTCACCCATCGGCTGCTATGTCAATTCTTGTGTAATTACTGCCACTTTCTTTCACTCTATGATAATGTGACATTTTCACAATGTGGACAGCTTAAAATGTCCTTGAGGAATCAACAATAGAGCAACCAAGCACTGATCAGAATGGGAAGACTAAGCTTTAAATCATCTCTGAATAAAAACAAATACTGGATAAATATGTCAAGAGTCTAAAAAAAGGATAAGATGATTATTAGCTTCCCTAGGAAATGACAGCCAGTCAGGTTCACAATAAGTATGTGCGTCTGGGTTTTTGTGTAGAGCAGGACCCAAAGGCCTTTGTTATTGTTTGCTTTGGGTTGAGAGACAGACTCTTTCATTACCTGCTCTGACACATAATCGCACAGCTGGATTTGACACGATCAAGGGGGGGCAGGCCACTGCTAGCTGCGATCATTTTCATCTGACGTGTGAACAGGCGTCTCACTTAACATAACGATCACAGGCAGAGGGCATCTTGATGAGAAGCTGTCACACTCGTCAGCAAGGGGTAATCTGATTGGTGTTCACGCTTTCACACACCAATGGCAATGGCTCTTGGCCCAGGAAAGAAGGTCTCTTCTAGAAACAAACACTTAAACTCACCAGTGTAGGATATGAATACACGGTCACTGTCAGAAACAAAACCTTGAATCTCTGTTCTTACTGTTTTTTTGTTTTTTTGACAGCTGACTTTTACATTGTGTGAATGTTTTACGATAAACTAACAAATCAAAATGGTCCAAAATGACCTGGAATAAACTTATTAAATTAACGTTTTCCTTCACCTGTAAAAGTTACCATTTTGTTCTGAGAGCAACCATATGTGTAAAGCGAACAGCATCCACTGCCTACACGCACACTCTCACGCCAAGCTTAACCACCTCATATTGAGTCTCTTTATGAAGCATGACCAAATTACATCCCCCTATATGGGTGAAAACATACTCTTTTGCTCAAGCCAAAGACACCAGCAGCTATCCACCACCAACGGGCAGATTCATCACAAAGCCCTTTCAGCCACTGCACTTAACCAGTCAATGTGATTATGAAGCATTGGGCCAAGACTGATTTTTTCAGGACTGTGAGGCTACCAGCATGTATGCAAAGCCTCTAAAAACTCCAAAGCCTTTTGATGCTGTTAAATTTATCCTCAGATCAATAGGCTTTGCACCAGGACTAAAGTGTTGGCATGGCATGTTGGAAATACGCAGTGGAATGTATAGCCCAGTCAGTTCCATAACTCTCTGCATTTATGTAAGACCATCTATACAAATGCAAACCGCGCCAAGGTTCATGACTCTTCTGATCTCAAATCCAGAAAAGCAATGTTACGATGTGATGCAAAACAGAACAAGAAAGTACATGTCAGGTTTCAGTCTAAAGATTTATGCAACAGCCTACCCTTCTATCTACCTTTCATTTAACAGAACTGAGACAAGAGTGGCTGCTGCTGCTGCTCCTTAACATGGCCCAGCACTTTTGATATGAAAGGCATTCTTCATGAGAACCTGAGCACTGTATCTGGATAGCACCTTCATTAAGATAAAGATTCAAGCATCTTAGCCATCCCCCACGACGTTAGGACGTATCATAGTTGTAGGGATTTAAGCCCAAGATGTTTTATCTGATTGACCACCAGTGATTCTGAGACATGTTTTTGCAAGTGACAGAATCCGAGGCAAAGAGACAGGAGTGGTCTTGACTCTTAACTGAGATGTGGCAGCAAGATTTGATGAACTGCATACGTTAAAGATTAAAGAGGAGGAGAATGTCACTGGAAGGTTAAGGGTTTGTGAAGCTGTGTCCTTTAAAACAGTGGGCTAAGCACCGGCTAAACGGGGAACCAGCACAAGTGAACTGTCTGGCTAAGCGTTCACGTCTACGGCCGCATAAATGCTCGTTTTCACAACTTATTTACAACCAAACGACTCAACTGTGAATGAGTTACGTTAAAAGTCATTCAGAAAAACATGAATGAAATAAGACGCAAAAGCCATTTTACTATTGCGCATCTACTCTTAAAGGGTCGTGCTGAAGGCAGAGCTGCTCGTTATCTGACACACAAACAAGCTAACGTTACCTGACTGTTTAACGTTACGTTCATAAAATGAGCGAATTTGTGTTCCGTTAGGATCAAAACCACAGCACGTTACGTTAACCGAGCTCTCCGTTCAGTGCTTTGTAGCCAAACAAGCAAAAGCAAAGAGCTGCAGCGCTTTCACTAAACTAAACGACGCTGCTCAAGGAAGGAAAAACAATAACAGCAAAAACTTTACCGACTGCAGGAAGGCGAGGGTCCTCACGTAATCCCGCTCCGTGTTCAAAATCTCGTTCAAAACGCAGAGTCTCAGGCGAAGCTGGCGGTCCGAGTCTTTGGTCTGATCCGTGTTTTCTTGAGGACTGTCCTCCTCCATGTTTCTCGCTCACGCCGAAGCCCCTTCCAGGGAAAAAAACACACAATCCCACCAAAAACGATGCCACTTGCTCGCAGAAGCCGTGTGTGTTTTCAGTCCATCTCCCCTCGCATGGCACCCACCGCAGGGGGAGGATGCGGCAGTTTGAAAAAACAGAAAAATCCCCTCCGCGCTGTTTGGCTTCAGCGAAACTTCAGGGAAAGTTAAAACACTCCGCACGCGAGCGGTCCGTTAGAAAAGGTATTTTTTGATCTGTTCAAAAAATGTCAAAGCAGTCGCGAGACAGAAGCGTTCACCAGCGTGCTGCGCTCTATCAGTCGAAGTGACCCTCGGTGTCTCCTCTGAGGAGTTCCGTCGTCCTCCTCTGTTTACTGTTTACCAAGCAAGAGAAGAGCTAACCTAACTCATGATGTACGAGCTCACGGCTAGCACCGAAGAGCTAAACAGACATTAGTACTAGAAAAAGTTAAGCCCGGAGAAGAGAGAGCTCGCCGGCGGGAGGCTAGATGAGCAGCGAGACAGTGTGGGAGTGAGAGAGTGTGGACTGAGTAAATCAGTCAGTCAGCTACTGAGGGGACAGTGTGAGTGTGAGTGGGTTAGCCCCGTCTCCTGTTCGCGCTCAGCAGCACAGCCTGGCTCCGTATGCACTTCTCTTTTCAGCTGCTCGGCTAAACAGCGAGGTTCGACATTTGAACCTTTACTCTGTTATTGTTAGTCTAAATTTTTACCCGAGCTGCTCCTCAGTTTGAATGTAGGTTTGCCCCAAAACGGCAACATCTGACCGAGTCAACAAAAAAAGGCTAAAGATCACAGGCGGTTCTGTAGAAGTTTAAAAGAAGGAAAACCCGTTTCCCTCAGGTGCTAATTTTTATGAGCCCTGAGGGGATGAAAACAGAGAACTGAGTGCTTACACTGCACAGTTCAGCGCTAATCTGTGCTGTTGCCAGTTCGATAAATTTATTTCAGAGTGCATCCTGAGGTCAAAGGGATAATGCAATTAAAGGGCAAGTCCACTGATTTTTCAAAATTTCTGTATAATCCAGTCACTGAGATGTAAACAGTCATTAAAGTGGCTTGATGTGAAATAAAATCGTAGAGAAACTTGCCAGCTAGATTTCTTTACAGTGGTAGTGATGGAAACCAGGGTCGCATTGTCTACAAACTACAACGCAAAATTTGCCATTTTATTTACTATCCAAAACCACCAGTGAACCTACTTTTTTATATGTTATGTTGATGATAAAAAAGTGATTAATCCGAAAAAATACATTTTCTTTGGGGAATATTTTTCCTCACAATGCCCTACATGTACAGGTCCGCCATTAATGGCTTTCAGGCCCATTCCTTGCCTCAAAACTTTAGTAAAACAATGCCTCAGACATCAAGCAGTATAGTCATAACCATATAAGTGTAGTGATTTTCTGTGAGGAAACTTTTACAGGCATTAAACGCTTCAGATTTTTGCGCACACTTTGAAAAATCCCCTTTAAACATTTGTAGCTGATTTATTTTCCATATTCATAGTTTCAGTGGGTGATTACAGATGCAGTATAATCTGTGGAATCACTGCTGCAGCAACGCTTTTCTGAACTGAACTGGTGGTGATATAGGAACATCCTGGGCGCTAGCAACGCCTCATGAGAAACTGGTGTCAGAACCCATCCACATCCTGTTTACAAAGGCTATAGAGAGTAAAACCAAGAAATCAGTTAACACAAACTCGCACAGTGTTACCACATTAACCAAGAGAATCCATCGAATCAGGGCGCGCAAGACTGCTTAGACTGTAAACGAATTAACACTGTTTGAAAGTATTCCATTCCCAGCCATTTCATAGCTGTCTGACTATGAATCATGACCACAGACTGGTTGATTAGAGCAGTTGTGGTTAATTAATATGACGTTTAATTAAGTAATTAAGTAATAACAGAGTGCGTGGGTGACAGTAGAGGTTTCTTTCAGGAGTACACAACATCAAACATCTGTATACAGACTCCATCTAGTGACAAAAGTGAAGCAGCACGCACTGGCATAAAGCTCTCAGCCTGCTGTTGCTGTTTATGATGTCACTCTTTATGACTGAAGAATTAAGAACCTCAGGTGGAGATTTGATTCCACACCAGAATTCTGAAAAAAATCTAATCCTGATTTGAGCAATCATCAAGGTAAGAGGGCTGTTTTTTTTTAAATGACAGATTATATACTATTAAAATGACCAGATTATTGAAAATGAAATTGCATCTTAATACATATTATATAGACCAGTGCAATGCATTTTAATCCAAAATTATATTCTAATGTGTGGATTTGCAAATCTGTTCATTAGTTGAAACAAATTTGCCCATTTGTTGAAATATCCTGTAGACAATGTACATTTTCAAAGCACGATAACACCAAAGGCCTATTGCCCAACATAGTAGAGATATACATTTTTCTGTCTACCTTTTTTTCTGAATGTTTATACTGAATGTTAAGATTTATTATCTTTTCATGTACTTAGCAGTTTTCTGACATGTCATGGCCCTTAATTAGTCATAGTAACTGGTCATGTCACTTTTTAACAGCTACCAAAGCCTATGACTCACACTGTGATGGTGAATACTTTGACCTGCACCTCCACGCAGACCTGTTTTAATACTATGACATTTTGAGTATAATCTTCTCATTTCAGGTCCTGCCCCAGCAGCTCAGTGCAGTTTAGACTTGACATTTTAAAAATTTAAATGACTTCTTGTTGAGGCATTCTAATGAGGACTTGCCTGTGTGCTTTGGATCATTGCCTTTCCTCATGACCCATTTGCACTCCCTCTAACTTTGATTCTAAAGGCCTAAGGGAAGAATCATGAACACCGACATTAGCTGAGGTGAGCGAGGCTTGCAAATCCTTTGAAGTTTTTTTTTCCTTTAAAAGTTCGCCTTAATGATGGAGAGTTTTTTGGCAGTCAGGCAAATCATAACATACTACCAACTTGAATTTTCCCCATTTGGCTGTGAATGTAGTTAGGTAGAGCTCTGGCAACATTGAAATCTGGGAACCTTCCAGACTAATAAGCATAAACATGCTTGTTTGTTTACCAAACTATTTTAACAGCTCACTCTATCCCCCTGTAATTGGATTCAGTTCACTAGAGGGCAATTACTTTTTGACACCTCAGGACTGCTTAATTACCTCGCACACTCCACAACTGACAAGGGCGCAAATATTGGTGTTTCATAGACTCCCTTCACTTTCTAAAGCGAGCCACAGAATAAACAGAATAAATTCAGCATAATAGCAGAAACATACACTAACAGTAGAGACAGGACAAATACTTTTTCACAGAACTGTGTTGCCATGTGACCTCTATACTATACATTCATTCGTTCATCTATTGGCAGAAAATCTCAAATGATAGCTTAAGGGCAGTGATTTGTCAACAAAGTCCATTAGTTGTTGATGATGCCAGTTATGGGAAAAAAATTTACATAAAACAATGTTTGCTCTGTAACGCTTTGTGATATTTGTAAGTTAAACAGTCATTCAGACAGACTGTACACCACAGGAAGTGCTAGAAGTGACATTCTAGTGTTTTGTGGTATCATAACAGGTGAAACCGCTTGTCTTGCAAAGGGAAGTTTGAATGGTGGTGGTACTTTGATGGGAATAATGAATTATTTGCAGACCTACATATTTTTCTAATCCATTTTATCTGGCAGGTAGCATCCAACAGTTGCCTTTTGAACATTTGAGAAGTCTCCTGTGCTCTACCAGACATGCCATTCATGTACAGCTCTACGCTTCCGTTGATTGTGCTATGCTGGATGTTACTTCATACATGCAGCCACTGTAACACTTTAAACAGCGTTGACCCGGATGTACCGGCCTTCGTCGACACTTGGGCCATCACACACAGCTCTCCCTGCAGTACCACCTGCGGACTGGGCCTCCGTACCCAGGAACTCTGCCCTTTGGGTGCGGCCAAGGCCAATGGTAGTGCCTGCTGGGTTCGCCAAGTCCAGTGCCTGGACAGCTGGCAGTGTGGCCTGCAGACTCAAACAGTTGCAGTTGGACAGCACCTGGAGCTGGACTGTCTAGAGGAAGTCATGGAGGTCATGGGTCGTTTTGCCTTTGTGGTGTCTTGGCGTTTCGCAAGAGGCATTGTTACCACCGATAACAGCTTGTTTGAGCGATACAACGTTCCAGGACTCGACAGGGTGGTACTGGACCCAGTGAGAGAGGAAGACGCTGGGACATACCGCTGTGACGTACAGGACACATCCTACCACAGAGTGAAGAGAACGTATAAAGGAGTGAAAGTTTTGTCTCCAAACGTGTTGAGCTTGAACTTTACTAAGGGTTTGATTCAGTGGGAGAAACCTGGTGGCCTGTGGCCAAATATAACTCTGGTCACTGGGAAACTGTATCCAAGCAACACGGTCCGAAAAATGGTACTGGTCAGCTTAGCCACATCCACCTCCATAACTGTCATCATCTTTCTTGGCCTTTTGATTTTTTCTTACTGGAAGAAGTCAAGGAAGAGGAACCTGTCTTCTCATGACTGTTTAGGAAATCTTTAACTCGCTACCCATTTTCGCTCTTCTTCAAAACATCTGTTGAATCCTGTTTGTGTAGTGTAATATTCCCTTTAGATGTTTTTGTACTTGCATTTCACAGCAGCATGAAATTGGAAGTGAGGAATTGGATTGGATTACATAGCTTAACATGGTGTTACGTTTCTATGTCCCCCTAAGTTCTACTAAGTCCTTTAAAGAGGAACCAGGAATCTGAAACACTGTCTCACAAATCAATAAATAATGTTAAACCGGATCTTCATACTGTTTCTTTCACAAGGTTCCACACTTGCACATTGTTTCACGGAGGATGAGAAGAAAAAGGCAAACACACTGTAAACTGATTTGTGTTTTATTGAATGTGCTTTACAGGTTAATGTGTGTGCTCACCACAAATTCTCCAAATAACCAGTGAAAGGTGCTCTACAAAGTGTAGTTAAAATCTTCAAACATATCAAACGTAATCTTAAGGCAGAGAGAGGCCCATTTCCTCATCTCACAGTAGAATGCAACATTAATGAACCTAGAAGCCATATTTACAAACGATGGAAGTAGGACTATGGGTTTTATATTGATTTTGCATTTTTAATGAACAGTAACTCAAAGCTGCAAACAAGTTGTTCATCCATGATCAATACACCCTCTATTCCAGAGTTACTTTGTGAATGTAGGCCCTGGTTTGAATAAATAAGCCCTACATCCTTCACAACACAAACCCTTAAAACATAAATATACATGGGTTTTTATTGCAGACATTCCTATAAAGTATATAAATATTCTGAAATATTCAGAAGCTCTAGCCTGCTTTGCTGATGCTGTGTAAATAGGCAAATAGTCAACCAGTGTGTTTTTTTGAACATACAACCAAACTTGGGTGTATTATACATACAGTGGAAATAAATCAAAACTGCTCTGTTCACTCATGACTAAATATGTAATTGTACCCAACAGAATGTTCCCAAAATTCTAAACAAGTTCAACACCTCCATAACGAAGCATTCTGCACCCAGACAGCAATTCAGCTGACCTACACAGAGCACCAACCAACTCCTTGAGCCCAAAAGACATAGAAAAAGTAAACTGGTGTGATCAAATAGCAGATAAACTTCTGATTATTTTCAGCACATTTGTATAACTCCACATGGTACTCAGAGTAGTTCAAAAGGTGGTGAGGTGAGCATTTGCAGAACAGTGTATAATCTGATCAAGCACCTTCTCATTAACAGTTCATCATTATTAAAAAGCCATAACAAACTGGTTCTCCCCATCATTCTCACTCCACAATAAAGCTGGAACAGAGAACCAGACACAAACAGGAATATAAATTAAAAATAAAACAATTACTCTCTATGCCATTCAGAGATCAGCCATCAGTCCAGCAGCACTCATGCAAAAGCATGTGGCAGAACAGTCAAACTTCAGTATCAATGCGATGATGGTCTCGCAGGACCAACATGTATTTACAAAACATGATGCCCCGCCCTGTATTGCTCTTGTAATACAAAAACTACAGCATTTTGACAGTCATACAATCATGCTGTTTTCATAATAATGACAGCATTTTTGGATTTGTGAGGCCATGCGCACAGCTATTGATTTAACTGACAACGTTCTGTATTGCAAAATAAGAGATCCAAACAGCCCTGCATTCAAAAGCGCACCCATTCCTAAGCATTTTGCTCCACAGACAAAACAAATCAATAGTTAATTCACAAAAAGTTGTAGAACATGACTAATCGTACAATTTGCTCTAAAGCCTCTAAAATATTAGTTCTAAAATCCTAGATAAGCAGAGGCTATTTCTTTCAGAATCCAGAATCATGAAATAAAGTTGAATCTGGATTTGTTAAGTCTTCATGGCGCACACATCTACAGCTCAAGAACAGTTTGACACAAACATGCTCAAATTGCAGCTCTGGTGTTTACACAAAGGATTACGTTTCAGCTTTATGCTGATGAAGGAAGCTACTGAAAGCTGACAGAGCAAGACACCATGAAGCCAAAAGTGCAAAAGGCTTACATGAGTCCTACAATGTCAGCTTACATGGGAATCCCTCAAACCTCACAAAGCCGTCTGAATTCATTTTCTACATTAAATAGTATCACATGAGCTCAAGTACACATGCCTTTGCCAACTGTATGCATCAAGTGACCATCAACAAGTATACAATAATGCATGTATCTACTCACAGCCATACTGGAATGACACTGATGACAATATTGATAATTACTGTTCAATGATAACTAAATGCTACTAATCAATTTCTCCAATATTAGGAAAAAACATAACATCTAGACATACTGATTTAATGCTATATTATAGGCAAAGTATGTTTAAACCTAGAAAGAAGAAGACATTCTAAAATCCCCAGCACAAATTGAGCTGCATAACCAAGATTCTTAAGTTGCTATAAGTCACAAATCTTTGGTAAAATATTGCTTTGCTACTAAGACATGCTTTTAAGCCCAGTATCAACATGGAAGACTGTTTGGTATATAACCATCAATTAAGCCAGTTCAGCACCCTCTGAATTATGATGTTCATTCCTTTAATACTAGAGCTACATTGGTTTGTTCCCAGTTGAACAGGGTAAACATGAATAGCAAGCCCTTTTAAGGAACAGGGATTATTAAGTATTGATTGAGTCTGTATATCAGGGGAAATTACTGGGTAAAGCTACATTAACAATTTAGATACTGTGATAAATAAGCTGGTTACTAGTTTCACTTGGTCGCTATCACTGGCTGGTGTACTGTGGAAATGTACAAAGGTTTTGAGTCAGTCTGCAGGTCTAGGAGAAAGATTACTCTGACATTTTGCTGGTGTAAAAGGTGATTACTGGAACATTCATGTAGTTTCCAAGTATAAGGCAATGTCTGCTCCACACTTTATTCCAGGCTTGCAAACAGTGACAATTATTTGGATAAACGCAAAGACGAGCCCCTCGATTTTTGCCTTTGCCAGTTTGGTGTCTACAGTGGCAAGTGTCTAGGCAGGTTCTATCAAAAAGAGAAGATAAAAACCCAAACATATCCAACTGCACAGACTTCAAACAGCTCACCAAAAGAGATTCCTCTTCTCTTTTTTGTTTACTCGAAACAAAGGTGCAAGATTTATACAGCAGATGAGGACATGATCAAGGCTGAAGCCAAGCAGGATTCAATCTCAAACCAGTCTGTTTAAAAACAGTGAATTACTAAAAACAATCAAAGGTTGAGAGTGCCCTCATCACCCTCTAGATGCAGATCCAGTCAAAAGAAAATGTACCTCCATCATGGGGTTAAAAAAATAAAATAAAATAAAAAAAGCAAGATTCAAATGCTTTTCCAAATTTTACAATCTTTGCCAAAAAGGACTAGAAAGGAGTTTTAGCAGCTTCTACTGAAGAAGCAAAAAAAAAAAAAAGAAAGCCAAAGTGCTGGAACAAAAGGGGTCAACCATCACAAATGACTCTTCACAGTGTGGGTCAACGCTGGAAATGGATGACTCTGTAGATGGACCAATCCACAGCAATAAGAAGCAATGGGGAGATAAGACTCCTTGAAGAAAACCACTAGCTCCACGAGAATCCAGCAGGTAATGTGTTTATCTCTTCCCTGATTTCATACAGGAAGGAATGGCCCCCCGGGCAGTCAGACCCTCAAAGCGTTTGTATGTGTAGTTAATGAAGACCCAGTCCTTGTTCTTTAAATCAACCTCACTGTGGTTGGACACAACAGTAGCTAGAGGAAAAGATAGAATTAAGTCAGCGTAAATAGATCAGATAAGATTAGGAGTGAAAGCTCAATAATTCTGCTTATGTCAGTGCACAGAAAAAAAAATTACATGTTGGTTGGAGGATGTCTGAATCAGGGAACTCATCGAAGTTAGAGGTGTCGTCTATACTTTTAATCTCAATTGGAATGGCAGCAGGTCTCTCCCTGTCAGAATAATCACATTTGTATTCATACAAAACCTTCATGCTAATTACTTGCCATGACTGTATATAAGAAAATAATACTCAATGATCTGCTAACATGTCCCTCCACACAATGCTCAATATCTGCAAAGCAATGTTTAATCAAAATTTCTACCTGATGTGGTCATAGTCAACTCCCTCAAAGAAAGGATTGGATTTGATCTCTTCAACTCCAGTAGCACCAATCCTGTTTTCACTCTCACAGCAGAACCTATTACACGACATGACACAAACAGTGTTAAATACACTTTTAAACCTTGTCTACTGGATGTCACACACTGCTGAAGAGACAAAATCCCCCATCATCCACAATCAGCAAAAATGTTACCTAACATGCTTTATATAGTAGTGTTTATAAAGTGGACAATGTGTTTCCCAAAACGGCTTGATGCTTTTTTGGAAACTAAAGTGTGAATGCTTAATAAACGAAGGAGAAAACTGAAACCTGAGAATAAGGTCCTTAGCCTTCTCAGAGATTGGAACTTCTGGGGGGAATGTCAGGGTTTCCCGCCAATTCATCACCTTCCTATATGTCTCCTGAGGCGTCTCAGAACAGAAAGGAGGGTAACCTGCAATTACACACACAAACACACACTAACTGGTTGGGAGAGCTCATACAATTGTGCTGCCTACAATTAACATTAGACAGTAACATTAAAATTAGATAACTGCTATTAACTCGGCTTGTAACAATCTCACCTATGAGCATCTCATACATGATGACCCCAAGGCTCCACCAGTCACACAGTTTGTTGTATCCATTTTGCATAAATACTTCTGGAGCAATGTAGTCAGGGGTTCCAACAGTCGAGAAGGCCTGAAAGACAGACATCCGGGCCATTTATCTCCACCACCAAGCCCCCTTATTTTTCTACCCATTCTAAGTCATGATAACTACCCAACAAAAATGACGTCTAGACTCAATTTCCTATTTTTTTTTACATCTAAGTGTTTCAAAATGTGAACCATCAAGCAGTCAACTTCCAATTTAAGTCTGACTCAAAAGAGGTCAAGCCCATCTATCTAAACCAGTCCTATCCACAAACACACTGTTGTCCTTGCGATGTGTAACCATGCGACAGAGGACATGACTAGAACAAGATTAATATCCCACTGGTTTGCTATGACATGCTGGTGACTTACCAGCTGTCTTCTGTTTCTCTTCCATGTTTCCGCTTTTCTCTTCGAGTTCATGTTTTGGAACGCTGCAGAGGAAAACAAACTCCAGGATTATTCCAAGGTAAGAGTCTGACCCTGACCTCTTGAGACAGGTCAGATTACATTGCTTCAACCAATGCATACATGTTGAGAAATGGCTCTTTGTATGCAAACAAATATTTTACATCACAACATATCAATATGAACTTACTATGAGAAGTATTGTAATAAGATACATTACTTAGTTTGCCATAAATGTTTCAAGACACCTTCTACTGCAGGATTATTATTCAGTTATTAATCTCAATCTCTAATCTAAAAAGAACCAGGTTAACCTAATTAACTGAATGTTACAGTTAAACCTTTCAGCAGATCTCCAGGTACGTTCTACCGTAATATGTTGGCTTAAGATGGCATTTTATTTCACAACTTTCACATCTCTGGTTGAAGGAGCAATAAGGCATTACATCCAGCAATTTTTGTGTTGGCTCCAAACCACATCAACTGTTCTCTGAAATAGCAACCGCAGGCCAGACTAAATACCATATCAGATTCAGCAAACAATTAGGAACTACCATTGTGTCAACAGGTATATCCGAGCAACTGCTGCTATGGTTAACTACAGCATGACAACTTTTGCTACCTTCTCGTATTTAATTAAACTTTAGTTAGATTTATTAAAAGGGTTTTCTACAGACTTTTTAACATGTCTCCAGAATATAATTCTTGATATGTAATTCATTTAGTTCTTGTTGATGTAAAATTATAGAGAAATGCCTTTCTGTCAACTTAGATTTATTCATAATAGTGGTGACAAGAACCAGGAATTGTGACATTTATAAAGCAAATAGAGCCATTTCATGTACTACTGAAAACAACCAGTGAACCCATGCGTCTTTTGAGTTTTATGTGTAATTTATATGTAACTGCAACAGCTTGAACATGCTGGCCACTCATACATACAGTGGTAGTGCTGTGGAGCAGTGCAGTGAAAAAGTTATGCCGACATCTTTTTTACAAATGGATAACTAGTCAAATTTGTCATGCTGCTCAATAAAAACATAATTCATATTAGAGAACAGTAATTTTTTTTTCCTTCGCTTTCAACAGTATTCTGACTTGGCAACAGCACACATACCAGGAAATGTGTAGCAGCATGGAATGTTTATCTAGTATTTTGATTGATAACATTCATAAGTTAAATTGTATAAACATTTTTAAAGTTTTCATTCGGTTATCATTTTCACGGCTTATTTCAGTGTATTTTGCAGCATGTCGCCTATTCTCCACATACTATGGTGTTTCAGTGACACGTCTGAGGTGCTTTGTGACTCTGCTTGTGCAGCCTGTGTGAAAGAGCTGACATATTAATGTGAGTGCCAAAATGAAAAAATGTTTCACTTCACTATAACACCCTGCCTGTGACTGTTTTAAAAAAACAAAAAAAGTTTAGGCCAAAGCCCTTTCGCAAATTGCAACGCATCTCTAACCATTTTATGTAATAACTTCCTGTGAGGTAGCTTTTAGAGGAATTAAATGCATCGAATGTTTGGTTCCCATTACCACCGCTGTGAACAGTTTCTTTAGACTTGCACATTTCACAACAAACCACTGACTTCACTGTTCACATTTTCATGGTTAATTGTGCAGAAATTTTGAAAGATCAGTGGAATTTCCCTTAAAGGAAAATGTTTAGCTGGACGTAATAACTACAACAATCTGGTTTAAATGAATAAATAGACTCACAAAATTTGTCATCAAGCACAGTAACCTATGATGTCAGTCAAAGTTATATACCTGGATCCTAACTGGCTTTGTACAAGTGAAAGCTCATGTGGGTGATGCCCTGTTCATGGCTCTTTGTGTAAACAGGAAGCACTGCATTACTGCACTGACATAAAACGGCTGTGTCAATCAACACGTTCCAGCAAGGGAGCTCTTTTATAGCAGCTGAACAGTATAAAAATGACCTAAGAGTAGGAGTGCTGAGAGCATGCATGTTAAAAGCAGAGCCACATTAACGGAAAACTTAGCTGGATTATGGGGAATATGAGAAATGACTCAAAAGGCCAGGTATTACTGTAACTGCACCACAACTGACAAAAGGAAAAGACACTTGACCACTCACTGAAGTCACTGGGCAGGCTGTGGTTGAGGTTTCTGTAGAATTCTGTCCTGTGAGCCTTCTTAAGTCCTGTACATAAGCCAAAATCAGACAGCTTCACATGGCCCTGCACAAACAAAAGAATGCGCTATATAATGGACATCCAAGTAATAAGACAGCATGACTAAGCCTACACTGGGAATTCATGAATAGATTGGCTTCAACAAGTTAAACACAAATTAACATGAACTGTCACAGCCCACCAATGTTCCCACTAATTGACAGCATTAGTAAGTACACAAAACTAGCCAAGAAAGTAGTGAAAGCATTTGTGAATTTGATCATGCAAAAGCATTTGTGTGCATGCATCTCACTTTTGAGTCCAGCAGCAGGTTGTCAGGTTTGATGTCTCTGTGGATAAAACCCAGCTGGTGAATGGAGTCAATGGCTAACACGGTCTCAGCAATGTAAAACTGAGTAGCCTCCTCAGTCAGAGTGTCTTTCTTCATCAACAGAGTCATCATATCTCCTGCAGAGACAAAGAGCTGCTTTAGAGACATTTGGTATGCAGATAACAACTCATGTTTTGATTAGACTGTGCCAAAAAAACAGTCCCTTTTTTCACTCAGATATGCCTCCAACTGACTACAGAAGCCAAAGGCTATAAAACAACACATTCATTATTAGCACTCCAAGTAAACGTGACTTCAGTCACTCTTGATTTCAATTTTAAAGCTCTAGTCTAGCCAAAATGAAAATTTAAGCATGCAGCATTTGTTGTAAACATGCCTATTGGCCTCCTACAATCTTTACAGTGAGATTTTCCAGTGTGAATTATAGGAAAACCCTTTCTGATGACTTATCTTCAAGGTGGGAGGGCATTTTCAAAGACTACAAGAACTTTGGGGAGGACTCCACAATTTAGTCACATCCAGTTCCATCTGCTAGCTTCAATCACACGATGCTACACTTGGAGGGTGAAGGCTAGTATGTGCCCTTCGAGCTTCAAGTACAGCTCATCTTAACCCGCCATTCTTCAAGATGCGTGGAAGATAAGCATCAAGACTTTTCTCTGTCCTGGCACCCAGGTGGTGGAACTCCCACTGGCTGTCCGAACAGCAGTCTCTCGCGGTTTTCAAACACAGACTGAAGACACACTTCTTTTTACAGCACTTAAGTGAGCACTGAGTTAAGTATTTATTGTAATGTATTGTACCGCATTTATTGAAATGTATTGCACTGCGCTGTGTTTAAATCTGTTCCATTTTTTCCAAATATCAACATGGGCTTTTGTTTCTAGCAATATCAATAACTCAGGACGAGCTTTCTCTCTAACCTATCTGTAACTAGCCAAGATACTTTGTCTAGATAGACAAAGCACTTTTTCTAAGTCTGGATAAGAGCATCTGCTAAATGCTGTAAACGTAAATGTAAATATATTGCTTCCTTCAAAAAGCCAGCCACCGCATATTTTCAAACTGCTGCCAACATCATCACAGGACAAATCAACATGCTTGGAGGAGAATGTTGATTGCTTTATCGGTTCAGTTCATAAATGCAGAGGCATCCAACCCACCTAGGGAGAGTGAGACCAAGGTGCAAAATACAGGGGGTCCTGGGACCTCCTAATTAACCTTCTGGAACTACCGAATGTCTCAAAATCTAAATTGTGGGGTTCCCTGTAAATAAACATATTATATTATGCTGTCCATTAGGGTAAAATAGATGCTCAAATACAAATTCAGGGAAAGTTCATTCTTTAGCAGTTTCACCCACAATCAGCGAGCTTCTGTCTTTAATATACTTAAATGACTAGAGATACAGCACAGGTCTGTGAAACATCAGTGAAGCTCCCTTGCACTACCCATGATATAGAAGATGTATGTGAAAGTTTGGGCCCTCTTGGTCAAATTACATGTTATGCTCATTTTCTGTGAAACTATGTTAATCTATTCACTACATTAACTATGTTATTCTTTGCTGTGCATTTTTACGCACAATTACTCTTTATTTGCTCAATATTAGAGAAAAGGTTTTGGTATATTTTATATCCCCCCAATAAACTTGTTAAAATAACTAGAAGTGCATTAAAATGTGCAGAAAAATATCTGTTTCCTGTCGTTTCCTGAACAGGATGTGTGAACGTATTCTCATTTACAAAATCAAGATAACGTAATTTCACTGGGGGTTGCATATGACTGTACAATGCTGCACTACAGAATACAACATAACATATTTAACGCTAGTTTTAATCCAGTTTTAATCTCAAACTCTGAAAGACCAACTTGTTCCTAAATGCTAAAATGCAAACACAAACTATTTTTGAATTAGTCTGTAGTTAGTCAGCACCCACCTCCAGGTAAGAACTCCATTATGAGGTAGAGGTTCATCTTGTCCTGAAAGCTGTAGAACATCTTCACAACCCACAGGCTGTCTGCCTCCACCAGAATGTCCCTTTCTGCCCGAATATGGCCAATCTAGCAGGTGTAGGCAAAACAAAGAAACTGTTGTATGACTGGTCACCAGTAAATCAGTGAACATTCTTTCTACAGTCTGATACTGAACTAAGTTTTCCAAACTCACTCGGCACGGTCTGTTCAAGACCTGTTTATTCAACACGCCTAAATCTGCAAAGTGTAAAGATTTCCCATCATAATATTCACCCAAAAAAATAGTCAATATGCTGCCAAACCTAAAGATGAAATATTCAACGTTGACAGATGCAAGAACAACCCAGAATGATCAGTTACTTAATCAAAGAAGACTCACCTGTTCTTTCTCAAGCATATCAGCCTTGCGCAAAATCTTCATGGCATACACATGACCCGTGTCTTTCTTCTGAACCAAGCGCACCTATATCAACAACATGTGTAAGCCAAATCTAATAACGCTAATTTAATTTACTAAACAGAACTTTCAAATCTAAGTGAGGTTCAGTACAATTAACAATAAATGAACAACAAGACGCTCAACATGCAGTGCAGTGTTCAGAAGATCAAGCATGGATATATGTCAGATTTCAATGGCCATACCTCTCCGAAAGCACCACGACCAATCACTTTGAGTGACTCAAAATCATCTAGTCCGAGGCGTGTTCGTTTCAGCCGGAGAAATTCTGTCTCTTTCCTTGCATGCTGAGATCGCCGTATACGCTTCTACAAATTAGAAGTAAAAAAAAAACATGGGAATTTTAGATATTAGATATTTAGATATTAGTAGCAAAACAGTTTTCAACTCACAATACTGCCAAAATGCCAGCTTTCATGTTATTTAAACAAGGAAGATGTGAAGTTAAAATTTAAATCAAAGTTACCAACACAGTCATTTTACATAGTATTATCAACAATAACAATAGCAATAATAGCAATTTAGCTAAAATAACACAATAATAGCAAAATAATAGCAATTTTGTTTGTCAAAAAAAAACAAAAAAAACAAAGCAAAACTGCTCCTCTACCTCTTCATCAGCTAGTCCCTCTTGATCCATCACCTTCTCCAACTTCTGCTGCCTATGATACATACACAGTGTTTTAGTACATCTATGAAAGGAATGTGTTTTTCACATTTCCTTTTTGGCAAAACGTTTAAGCAAAGATGAATGAGAAAACGTAATGTGTCCCAGTTTTAAGCATGAATCATGAAATAGAAATCGGCACAGCTTCAGCCAGCATACATAACGGGTTTGTAAAGTAAAAAGTAAATAAACTGCAATCAGTCATCTCTTCCCACCCTCATATGCGTCAGACTAGCGCAGGGAGGGAAAGACTCCAAAGCAGTTCCATCGCATTGCTAAGATGCTCAAGATGCTCAATGCATCGCTCAGACCCGTCAAACTAGTTTAATGGTACTGAATACCACAGAGAACTAGGTTTCCAGAGCCAGATTACTCATTACTTGACATTAAGCTGTTTTCAATCAATTTTCAATCAGTTTCTGAGGGTACAGCTAAGAATGGGAGTGTTTTGACAGGACTCGCTAACCTCATCTCCCTCTCCTCGTGCTGGGAGATCAGATTGCTGTAGAAGTTCTCCAGGGTCACTTTGGCCATTGTGACCCGTTCCTTTGTATGGTTGCTCATCGAGGAGCAGGATGTCTGACCTGTCATTGCCATGGTTACCTGGAAAGTTAGCCCAGACAGAACATCACAATAACATTAATTAAACAGCATAAACATTTAGTTATGACAAATAACGAACCATATCTTCTTAAACATATATCTGCACCATGCCAGTTGGTGTTCAGCCACAGAACACAGTATACTTGGGTTATGTCAAAAGCAAGTAGCCTGTAATTTAAAGACTAACAATTACAGGTCTTTTACAAATCCACATGAACACTGTAGTTACAGTACTTCTCCATATTCATTCTACGGCAGCCAAGCCTAGTCATGCAACTTGCTGTATAGCAGGATCTTCATATCATTTTTCATGTTTTTTGCCCATCGGTGTTCTCTGACTACAATACCCAGCATGCAGTACAAAATACATCACACAACAACTGGAAATCCCTACAGCACTCAACAAATCCTGACTGCTAGCCACTCATATAGACCTTAATAAATACATCTGTGGCCCACTAATGATCAAATCAAACAGCCTGCGCAGAAATATCAATCCCAAAGCACTTGCAGTCTTTTGAAATTTACATTCACCTTCAAGATACATAAAGTGTTTCTAGGCTTTAAACTAGGTAATCGTACTCTAGAGCTGGGGTGGTGTACTGAAGAACCAGTGGCCAGCACAGTTTGGGGAATTTCCTGCTTATAGCACACCAATTTAACCAAGCAATCAGCTGCTGACTTTAATCAGGTGTGTTCGAGTATGAAAACCACCAAACTGTGCTGGACTCCATACCTCCAGGACTACAGTTCACCACCCCTGCTCTAGACACTACTGCAGCTCCATGTAAGAGGCCAATAGACATGTTTACAACAGATGTACACATGGTCATATTTTTTCCAGTTTGGCCAGCATACCACTTTAAGCGATGGTTCAGTAAAAATTACATTCACACAATTATCCACCTACCCCAAACCATTTTTCCACTGGAACCACAAGGCTAATATAACAATAAATATAATTTGGGTGGCACGGACTTCCATTACTACTCTTGTAGCTCCAGTGCAAAACATGCAAACCTTAGATACCAAGCATGTTTTGACTGATGATCTACATGTAGGATACTCAGCTAGGTTAAGCAAACTAACTTAGTTCGGCAAACCACCCTTTCAGTCGGACACGCAAAATTAAACAACAAATTAGCAAAAACTGTAACTACATATTTTAGGTTTTCCCTGCTCAAACCTAAAATGCTAGCGTTACATTGCCAAAGTGCCACGAGCAGCACGAATTCAAAAATGGTAACCTAACCTAGTTAGCTAACTGACATTTGCTAGATGCTTTTCATACCGATATCTACCATCTAACGTTACTGACACTTTAAATAATGTGAGTTAACATACTCGTTAGTCAGGAAAGCGAGAAGTCAGTACTAATTTCTCGACACTGATGAGCTGAAAGTCCATAGAAATGTAGTTACTCACCAACATGATCAAGACTCCGAGTACTTAAGAAGGCTACAAACAGCTAACACTAGCGGACAACCTGGCTAACATCAAATTAGCTAGCTAGCGGCACTCCAACAGCACAAGTGAAACTAAACTCTAACCCCATAGTTAAGTTAATTACCCAAGTGTTTTCTGCTATCTTGTAGTCATCCGACGTCCCAGGGCAAATTTGAAACAAAAGACACCACATAGAGGGACTAGTTATGAAGACGGAATAAACACGGGGCGAGCTAAGGCTGAGGTTAACGTTAGCTAAACTAACGCTCACTTAAGCGGTTGACTGACGCTGCCGTTTGTACACTACAACTCAGAGCTCATTAGACAAGCTGTGAGTACTTGACATAACATGTAATTACAACTAAACAAAAGCGAACTCGCTCAAAGGTCTTTTTTTACCCACAACTTATGAAGTTATTTGAAGTTACTTTTAATTACTCACCTTCTTCTCGACCTAAAAGTGACGGCAACCTACTTGTGAACAGCGGTCATTATTTCCTTCTTCCAGGTTGCTATTTCAGTGGCAGTCCACCAAAATAAAAGTCCTACTCGATATTTTGAAAGACGGAACTCGTGGTGTTTCATGGAGGAAAACTCATCCGTATTTCACAAAAGAATAGAGAAATAGAAAAAATATTAATTGCTAAATGAATTAAGAATGATAAAATAACTTAAGAATAGACATTACTACTTTCGAAAACAACAAGAAGAAATCATAAGTAATCCATTAATCGTCGAGAGATGTTTGTTAAATGTTTGTTATCACAGGTTGCTAACGGTTCTAATAGGCCCTCGTCTTCTAAAGTGACGTTCAACAATGAATGACTTTACAATGCTAAAAATCTTAATCTAGATTGTGACTGCAAAATGCATCATTTTGCTGCACATTTATATACAGTCTACAGTATGTGGGTAAACAGTTTGTTTCATCTAATCTTCACCAGATGGCAGCAGAGCACAGCTGTCAGGTCTAATGTCAGTTCCACTTTCACTCATGAGCACGTTTTGCTTTAGACTCCAGTAACAATACTGAAGCACGACATTGCTTGTGCCACGAATGACTTGGTTTTACTTGTTATTTCTTTCTTTAACTGAGGTCTGGTCAAGATAAATATTGTGTACTGATACATCATTCCTTCAAAAAAGGTGTGAGTTTATGTCTTCTGTGTTGAACTCGTGTGTTAGCATAGTGATCTTTTCACCCACTGATTGCTGGTGGAACTTTACTCTGGCGATGTGTTAAAATAGTACATCGCTTCACTTAATTCACATACATAAAAGTATATAAAAGCTTCTGCTGCTCTTACAGGACTAAAATGGTTGTCATGTAGGCCTGAATTCTGTTTTTAGGGGCATTCATTGGACATAACAGGAGGGATGAATGATAGCACTCTTTTCTCTTTGATCCAATACTAAATACCACAGTAACTCTTTACTGAAGGGTGGCATTGTAAAGGTAAGAGAAACCTATAAAACGTTCAACTGACATAAACCCGCATAACATTTATAAAGTCTTCTTTTTTCCAACAAGCATCAGGCTGCTTTTTTGGACGTGATTTTACCCTGGAAAGTGCTATGACAACTGACTCTTGTTGGAATAAGCTTTTATAAAGGTTTATGTTTAAGGCAGTTGTCATGACAGGCTTGTGCAGGTGTCATATAACAATATGAATGCTGCCCCCTTAGTAAAGTGTTACCAATAAAAGCAAGGCTAATATCCCAATAACAATACTATTAAAAGGGGAATTCTTTGTGATTACAGTCAAAATCAGTAAATATGTACCTCAAAATTACATGTGGTGAATGGAGGGAGAGTTTGGAAGGACCCTAACAGACGCATATTGTGCCAATATTTTTCATGTTTTCAGCAGCAAAGACACATCCAGTTCCATAAAAGTATAAATATTCAGTTTCCTGCTTAAAGAAAACAGTGTTGGTATTTTTGATCAAATATGTGAGGATTGATTTTCTTGGACCAAAGTCAAAAAATGTCTTAAGAATGAACATCTTCATTCAGCCTTACACACTTACAAACTTAAAAAAAAAAGTTAACTTCTTATTCATCAAAAATCCTTAAGAGTTTTTAAAATTAATTAAGAATGATTGTAAGAAAAAGTGTATTCATGTTTTGAATATTTTCTTACCCTTACAACAGCCTCACACTTGTCTCAGACTGTAAGAACTGACAGAGTGAAGCTCTTAAACTTCTAATAAGTTACATAAAATACAATTGTTAGAATAAATCAAGGAAGATGTTTCCTTCACCATTACGTCTAGCTTGTTTGTTCTTTTTTTCTCATTTTTATTTGTTTTAAAGTTTCATTAGATTTTGTTTCATCTTCATTTTGCTGTCATCAGGTGCTGATGTGACCAAACTAAATAAATGATTAACAGAACTATGGTATCATTTCTAGTGAACTGTAAAAGATAACATGATATTGATGAAAATCAAGAAGTCTTTCTTAAGAGAATATCTGAGAACGTTTTAAGTTTTCCTCAAAAGAATTTTATTTAAGAACATTGGGCCTCATTCGCCAATATCTTGTTAATACGTTTTCTCTTAAATTTGTTCTTAAAAAGGTCCTATTAAAAAGTCAACATCAGATTCATGACGTGCTCTTAAACTGCATAATTTTTCACACTTTTGTGCTCTTGAGTGTGTGTACATTCTGTTCTTACTGAAGAAAAAAATCCCAAATAAGAAAACATTAGTTTTTCCTTAGGAAAGCCTCACTCTTAAAAAAGATGGCTCTTCAAGGATTGTTAAGAAAAGGGAATGGTTCTGTTTAAACAGTTGTGCAGAACTCCTTTTGATTCCACACAGAACTATTTTCAAAAAGGGTCTATATAGAAGCATATACAACACATTCTACATCAACCTGAAGAGCCATTATACCATGCAAAGGACCTCTTTAGCATGAAATTATTCTGTGTAGAACTCATGGTTCTAAATAGAACCATTCCCTTTCCTAAAGAACCCTTGAAGAACCATCTTTTCTAAAAGTGTTGTGTGAATCCGACCTCAGTATCAATTCATCCAACCCCTACAAAAAAACAGCACCTCTAGCTGAAGCTTTGGTGAAGTACAAACAAGGACAAAGAAGAATTTTAAAAACTTCCGAGGGCGGGACAAAACTCTGCCCGCTCTTTTAGAAGGAGTGGCTTCTCAAAGAATGTGTCGTGTTCAAGTTCATTCTGTCTCTTTTTTCCCATATCTCCTTGCCTCCATGTCTTTTTTTCTCCTTCTTCCTCTGTTTAGCTGCTTTACCTCCTCTTTAGAGTAGGATTTCCAGCAGAATCCCCCTTTTTCCTTGTTTAAGAGAACATTATTCCGCTTCCAGAAGAAACCGTTTGGGAAGCTACAAGAAATTTGGCTCTAGTTCAGAGAACTCTTGAAGAAGAAAGGTAAGATGAATCTGTTAGCTCCCTAAGCCAGTAAAAACGGTTAAGTTAAAGAAGACACTGATGGATAGAGCTCCTATTATTGTGGTAGATTCATTGGTTAAATATTGATGTGCTTCTTCTTTCACGCTGCTTGCCATGTGTTTCATACGTGTGCTATTTGACTCACACATCGGAAGTGTTGAAAATTCCACCATGAGCCACATGGCACATGTAACTGACACCAATGAACTGAATTATAGGACATTCTATAGAGACATATCACTTAATTATGTGCTTCAGCTTCACATACAGCTGTATAATGTATAGTGTTTGAATGGTGAAAATGACAGGACAATATATACATTTCTGATGGATATCTTCAGTCTAGACACTCTGCTCTGGGCATGCAGTGTACTTAGTAAATCCTGTTGGACCCATGTGGCATAAAAAGGCCTAAAGCAAAGTGGAATAATAACTAGTACTGTATCTGTTTAAATATACACAGCTGATTTCTCTTACAAATCAGTCTGTCCATCATTCCTTTGTCACCAGAGTTTCTTTTTATTTTACTTCTAACACAGAGGGCGGCCATATTGAAACATCAGTGAAAGAAAAGTGACATTTTTTGAGAGTACTGTCCTGTGAAAGCAGCACATTTCTGTGAATGAGAGGGTCTCCTTTTATGATTGCCTTATCTCCAAAACTCTGACTTCATTGTAGAAACATTGAAGTGTTTCCTGGAGCGCAGCCTCTGCTCTTTACTGATAATAAGCAAACCTCTACTATATACTTTCATGCAGTTAGATGATAAAGGGATCCATCGTCATGTTGACCTGACCCAGCCGTGTGGGTCAGAGGGCCGTTTTTTAAAGGGCTCGTGTCATGGAAAACTGTATCTGCTTGCTTTTTTGAAATGAAAGAGTTTAGTGTAGAATGTAAACAAATGAAAACACTGTTAAAGTTTTAAAGAGCTCATATCATGGAAAACTGACTTGTCCTGGCTTTTTTTAAAGAGTTTGATGTACACCAAAAAAAAATTGGTTTACACGATTCAAATGTGTACATCGGTTCCACACACGTAATGAAGTATGTATACATAATACCTGTGTTAAGCCTATTTCTTTTATGTTGGGCCAATGAAAACAAGTAAATCTAAAGCAATTTTAAGCACCTTTTTTTCAGTTTGGTATGTGAACATAAGTTTCAAAACATATCGTTCACTCCTCAGTTCACACAGTCCATATATAGAACTGAAGCTGCAAAAATAGCCCTTTTTAAATTCATTGTTTTTGTGATATCACAAAAAGTTAATGGATTTACTTATATCTGCCTATTCAGCCCACACTAGTTTAAACTCGCCCATTCACACTGAAGTTATAAGGAATGTTTCACTTTTTGAATGAGGCACAATACAGGGCAGCCTATCAGAACAGAGGTCATTTACATACATTAGTCTTAAATGCACAGTAACAAAAACAGCCCATTTAATTATAAGGGATAAAAACAGGTTGAGAAAAGGTGGATTATGAATGTATTCGGTACATAAAACCACACCAAGGTCATAAGTGGACCTCATGGGACAAAAATAGAATAAAAGACATTTGTAGGATATGGGCCCTTTAATATAAGTGGTATAAGCAGTTGCTTGGGGCCCCTCAGCCAAGGAGTGTGTAGGTTTTCTGTTTGTTTGTATCAAAAGTATTTTCTTTCAAGTTTGCATTTAAAGTAATATCATTTGTGTTGCCCCCCATTCAGAGAGTAACTTAGGGCCCCCAAATATAGTTCTGTTCTCACACACACACAGACACACACTGCTGTGTCAGGTCAGCATGATCCCTTTATCATCTGAATGCATGAAGAAGTTTCTCTTTCAGTAAATTTAACCAGAATTCCTGGCTAGGGGCTTGTGTTACGACTTTCTGTGAATTTCAGATGAATTTCAGGAACATGCCAGCTGCAAGTGAACTAACTACATGTGCTCTCCTATCACTGTCAGTCAATCTAGTATGTTATACAAAATACATAAACATGCTGTGGGCAACCTACACACAACTTAATCATACCATGCACAAATGATTTATTTTTAAACTCAGCTTCCATGTATGGAAGCCTGTTCCCATCAGGCAGAGTCTTTGTTTCTGGCAGCAGTGGGTCAAAATATAATATAGAATAATAATATATGTATAATGTACATGTATATTAATATATATAATATAAAACATAATATAGATATATAATAATAAGCCGTAGTATGTAATAAATCTGGAATTCTAAGTGGTTAAAAACCGATGGCCAAACAATTTGTCACACAGGTCACTGCATAGCATACCAAACTTGCATATGCAGTGATTAAATTGACAATGTAAAATACCGATTGAACTGCAACTACACATTTGGCCAGTTTACCACTGAAAGCACACATGCTGCGGTAAGGATTTACCAGCACCCTTGTAATGTGTTTCCACAGCAGAGCCACATGTGCCTGCTGAGTCATGCGCCAGTTCCTGTCTGACTCATGAGCACAGCACTGATATCCTGCTCTGTGACAATTTAGAAGCACTATTTTTCATTTTAATCACTTTGTTGTGGATAAACTAGCATGCTCAGTGGATTGTAGGCCTCCTCGGTTTCTAACTATAGTATAAAGTGTGTGGAGGGGTAGAAAAAACATCTATGGAAGCTTCACATCTGCTGGAAAGTTCTACAACAAGGTCCACAATGATGGTTAGATGTCATTGGATCTGACTTGGTTGATAAGCTTTATAGTGAAGTGTTTTACTGTCACCCCACCTAATCCACTGCTTTTTATTGTAGGAGTAATCCTTTTTAAACAAGTTGCTTAAATATTGCTTCTGTGGAACTGGCCTCATTTTAATCCTTAAAAGTCCACACATTTTATTGTTGTTTTGCTATACGTGTAGGGTAGGCCTTATTAAAATATACTAAAGTATTAATATGTAACTTAATATGTACCAGTTTACATTATGAATGGACAGATTTGAGTCTGTACTTCTGTCTGTTTTTTGATTGATTGTTTTGATGTCATGAAATGACAAAAACATACAAAAATGTAGAGGATGTTTGTTCTTCTTGCAAAACATGTATAAAATATACATGCTGTTTAAATGCCGTGGACATAAGATGAAAGTAAAAATTGTTGACCCCAAAGTAGTTGTTCCTTTTTTATATTTGTCTTCATTGTTGTCCTTGCCTCTGGTGGTAATGATGACTCTATTTCAATTCAATAAATTTTCATGGGACCCTTGTTAAGCCCTGACTAAACCTCACATAATGTGATCACTAATGAAGTCCCTGACCTTAAAGAGGAATTCCAATTTTCTAATTTTCCAACATTTTCCAAAATTTCTGCATAAGTAGATGGTTAAGATGTAAACAAAGTCATTCAGAGTGGTGTTATGTGAAATGCTCAATTCCAGAGAAACTTCTCAGAAGTATGCTCACAGTGGTGATGATAGTAACCAGACGTCCAAAGTGTTTAATGGCTCCAAAAGCTGCATAGCAAAAAGTTATTACATGAAATAGTTGCACTAGTTATGAAATAATTCACTGCCTGATGCCTGTGAAATTGTTTTACAATAGTTGTGAGAAAAGGTTTTAGCCTAAAATGTATTTTTTTCCTGGCAGTGAGGCAGTCCCCAAAATAAAGCTTATTTTGTAAGACCTATTTCATCTTTATCATTACCTAATTTTGAAAAAAAAAATGGAATTCCACTTTAATAAATCCTTTCTGTGCAAAGAGCAAATTCCAGCTAGAATTTAATGCCTGCTATAGTGAATTTAGACTTTGTCCCATTGGTGTTATGGATGTCATTCAAAAAGCAGTATCAGGTGAAACACTTTTCTTCAGCGTTCATATGTGGATCTAAATTGCTGTAGGCTAAAAAGAAGGATATGTGTAAATGCACTGGTTTTTATTACATCACAATAACAATGACTGCAAAATTGGCTGTTTTTGCAGTTTATTTTTCACGTACAGATCATGTGGGCTGGGGAGTGAACAATGTGTTTTGAAATTTCAACAATGTTTATGTGCTACATCAAACTCTCTTATTCAGAAATGTGAGGAAAATTCAGTTTTCCATGACATGAGCCCTTTAAATCTAGCTGAGGACATCAGTTAGGCCCAAATGCATACTCCAAAAAAAGCACACTAAAGAAAAAGGCAGATGGCCTTTCTGATGGTGCATAACACATCCTACATGTCAATAATTCCCTGTAGCACAATATAAAAAATATTAGTAAGGATTACTATTTATGTATAAACACACTTGTATGCATGTGTAGATGCTGTCTTTCCTTTTGAGGAAAGTAAATTGACAAAAAGCATTGCATGGAACTTATGCTGGTCTATGCTGTTTTATTCAGGAGGGTATACTGGGGCTAGCTTCCCAGCACATTAGTTTAGCACTATTCATATAAAAATATGCACTCTCTCTTCTTTTATATCCATTATAATGTCAAAGTAAACTTGAAGAACAGTCTATGTAATGTAAACATGGGGCAGCTTCTACGCAGGGGCTAGCTTGTCAGCACATTAGATTAGCAATACGTTCATTTGTACTACTTTATACCACATGTTTATACTTTGCTTTGAGCATATATTCACTCTTGCATACATATATGCCCTCTCTATCTCTTTTTATATCCATTTTTGTGTCTAGGTACCCTGAAGAACAGTCTATGTAATGTAAACATGGGGCAGCTTTTCCGCAGGGGCTAGCTTGTCAGCACATTAGATTAGCAATACGTTCATTTGTACTACCTAATACTACATGTTTATACTTTGGTTCGAGCATATTTTCACTCTTGTGTAAACATATGCTCTCTCTGTCTTATTTTATATCCATTTTTGTGTCTAGTTGAAGAGCAGTTTATGTAAGGGGCGGCTTATACACAAAGGCTCTTGTTAGCACATTATACATTAGCGATATGTCTACATTCTGGCTATATTCTGTACTAGTTCAAAGAGTTGACATTTATTTCCAAAGAAAGAATAAAAT